AATCCCGTTTTTCCGGCTGGAAATTCCCGGTTTTTGGGCTCCCAGCCCGGTTTTGTGCTTCCAGCTCCGAATTTTGGGCCGGAAATTCCCAATTTTTGGGGTCCCAATCTCGGTTTTGGGGTGAGGATGGAGATTTTTTGTAGCCTCCAATCGTGATTTGTTAATTCCCGCTGGAATTCCCGGTAATTCCCGGGGTTTTCCCGTTAATTCCCGCTGGAATTCCCAGGATTTTCCCATTAATTCCTGGGGTTTTCCCATTAATTCCCGGGGTTTTCCCGTTAAGTCCCGGGATTTTCCCATTAATTCCCAGGGTTTTCCCGTTAATTCCCGGGATTTTCCCGTTAATTCCCGGGGTTTTCCCATTAATTCCCGGGAATTCCCAGTAATTCCCAGGGTTTTCCCGTTAATTCCCGCTGGAATTCCCAGGATTTTCCCGTTAATTCCCGGGGTTTTCCCGTTAATTCCTGGGGTTTTCCCGTTAATTCCCGGGGTTTTCCCGTTAATTCCCGCTGGAATTCCCGCGGTTTTCCCGTTAATTCCCGGGGTTTTCCCGTTAATTCGGTTTTCCCGTTAATTCCCGGGGTTTTCCCGTTAATTCCTGCTGGAATTCCCAGGATTTTCCCATTAATTCCCGCTGGAATTCCTGCGGTTTTCCCATTAATTCCTGGGATTTTCCCGATGTAATTCCCAGTGCAGCTCCCGGTGTTTTCCCACGTTTTTCCCTGTGTGAATTCCCATTTTTCCAGGTGTTTTCCCGATGTTTTCCCAATGCCTTTCCCAGTGTTTTCCCGGTGTTTTTCCCGTTGATTCCCAGTGTTTTTCCCGGTGTTTTCCGGGTGTTTTTCCCGGTGTTTTCCCGGTACTTTTCCTGTTGATTCCTGATGTTTTTCCCGGTGTTTTTCCCATTGATTCCCAGCATTTTTCCCGATGTTTTCCCGTTGATTCTCGGTGGTTTTCCCGGTATTTTTCCCAGTGATTCCCGGTATTTTTCCCGGTGTTTTCCTGGTGTTTTTCCTGTTGATTCCCGGTGTTTTCCCGGTGTTTTTCCTGTTGATTCCCACTGTTTTTTCCGGTGTTTTTCCCGGTGTCTTTCCTGGTGTTTTTCCCGTTGATTCCCAGTATTTTTCCCGTTGATTCCCACTATTTTTCCCGGTGTTTTCCCAGTATTTTTCGTGTTGATTCCTGGAATTTTTCCCATTGCTTCCCAATGCTTTCCCGTTGATTCCCGATGTTTTTCCCGTTGATTCCCGGTGTTTTTCCCATTGATTCCCGGTGTTTTTCCTGGTGTTTTCCGGGTGTTTTTCCCAGTATTTTTCCCAGTGTTTTTCCTGCTGCTTCCCGGTGTTTTTCCCATTGATTCCCAGTATTTTTCCCAGTGTTTTTCCTCGGTGTTTTCCCAATGTTTTTCCCATTGATTCCCGGTGTTTTCCCAACATTTTTCCCGTTGATTCCTGGTGTTTTTCCCATTGATTCACAGTGTTTTTCCCGGTGTTTTTCCCATTGATTCCCGGTGTTTTCCCGGTGTTTTTCCTGTTGATTCCCGGTGTTTTTCCTGTTGATTCCCGGTGTTTTTCCCACGGATTCCCGGTGTTTTTCCTGTTGATTCCCGGTGTATTTCCCGGTGTCTTTCCCAGTGTTTTTCCCATTGATTCCCGGTATTTTTCCCGTTGATTCCCGCTATTTTTCCAAATGTTTTCCCGCTATTTTTCCCATTGATTTCCAGTGTTTTTCCCTTCGATTCCCGCTATTTTTCCCGGTTTTTTCCCAGTATTTTTCCTGTTGATTCCTGGAATTTTTCCCATTGATTCCCAATGCTTTTCCTGTTGATTCCCGATGTTCTTCCCGTTGATTCCCGGTGTTTTTCCCGGTGTTTTCCGGGTGTTTTTCCCAGTATTTTTCCCAGTGTTTTTCCCGTTGATTCCCGGTGTTTTTCTGTTGATTCCCAGTATTTTTCCCGGTGTTTTTCTCAGTGTTTTCCCAATGCTTTTCTCGTTGATTCCCAGTGTTTTTCCCATTGATTCCCGGTATATTTCCTGGTGTTTTTCCTGTTGATTCCCGGTGTTTTTCCCGTTGATTCCCAGTATTTTTCCCGGTGTTTTTCCCATTGATTCCCGGTGTTTTTCCCATTGATTCCCGGTGTTTTTCCCGGTGTTTTTCCCGTTGTTTTCCTGTTTTTTCCCGGTGTTTTTCCCAGTGTTTTTCCCATTGATTCCCGGTGTTTTTCCCATTGATTCCCGGTGTTTTTCCTGTTGATTCCCGGTGTATTTCCCGGTGTCTTTCCCAGTGTTTTTCCCATTGATTCCCGGTATTTTTCCCGTTGATTCCCGCTATTTTTCCAAATGTTTTCCCGCTATTTTTCCCATTGATTTCCAGTGTTTTTCCCTTCGATTCCCGCTATTTTTCCCGGTTTTTTCCCAGTATTTTTCCTGTTGATTCCTGGAATTTTTCCCATTGCTTCCCAATGCTTTCCCGTTGATTCCCGATGTTTTTCCCGTTGATTCCCGGTGTTTTTCTGTTGATTCCCAGTATTTTTCCCGGTGTTTTTCTCAGTGTTTTCCCAATGCTTTTCTCGTTGATTCCCAGTGTTTTTCCCATTGATTCCCGGTATATTTCCTGGTGTTTTTCCTGTTGATTCCCGGTGTTTTTCCCGTTGATTCCCAGTATTTTTCCCGGTGTTTTTCCCATTGATTCCCGGTGTTTTCCCCGTTGATTCCCGGTATTTTTCCCGGTGTTTTTCCCATTGATTCCCGGTGTTTTTCCTGTTGATTCCCAGTATTTTTCCCGGTGTTTTTCTCAGTGTTTTCCCAATGCTTTTCTCGTTGATTCCCAGTGTTTTTCCCATTGATTCCCGGTATATTTCCTGGTGTTTTTCCTGTTGATTCCCGGTGTTTTTCCCGTTGATTCCCAGTATTTTTCCCGGTGTTTTTCCCATTGATTCCCGGTGTTTTTCCCATTGATTCCCGGTGTTTTTCCCGGTGTTTTTCCCGGTGTTTTTCCTGTTGATTCCCGGCGTTTTTCCCAGTGTTTTTCCCATTGATTCCCGATGTTTTTCCCATTGATTCCCGGTGTTTTTCCCGTTGATTCCCGGTGTTTTTCCCGGTGTTTTTCCCGGTGTTTTTCCCATTGATTCCCGATGTTTTTCCCATTGATTCCCGGTGTTTTTCCCGTTGATTCCCGGTGTTTTTCCCGGTGTTTTCCCAGCGTGGGGGCGCGCTCCGGCGGGGCCCGCAGGCGCGGGCGATGCTGCGGATGAAGTCGGCGCTGCCGTACGCGCTCGGGGCCCTGGACTGGGACCCCCCGCACCTGCACAACCTCCAGCACTGCTACTGCTACTGCGGCGGGCCCGGACAGTGAGTCACGGCCCCAAAATTCCCGGAATTCCCAAAAAAAGTTGTCCCTAAAAAAATCCCGAAAAAATCCTGAGGAAATCCGGCCGTTCCCAAAGAAATCCCGGTCGAAATCGTCCCCAAAACAGCCTCGAAACCCCAAAACGGCCCCAAATTCGTGCCTGCCTGAGCTCCAGCGCTGCCCCTGAGACTGCAGTGAGTCACATTCCCAAAATTCCCGGAATTCCTGGAATTCCTGAAAAAATCTCACAGTTCCCAAAGAAATCCCGGCCGAAATTGCCCCAAAAATGGCCCCAAAATTGCCCCAAAACGGCCCCAAATTTCGCTCCTGCCCGAGCTCCAGCGCTGCCCCTGCGTGCAGGGGGGTTCTGGGCAGGGAGGATCCCAAAAAAGTCCTGAAATTCACAAAATTCCCAAAAAAATCCTGAAATCCCCCTAAAATTCCTGAAATTCCCCGAAAATCCCACCCCATACAGCCCAAAAACGGCCCCAAAATCACCCCCCAAAAGCCTGAATCCCCCAAATTCCTGGAATTCCATCCCCAAAAAAACCCCCCAAATCCCCCAAATCCTCCTGAACCCTCCAAAAATTCCAAAAATTCCCAAAATTCCTGGAATTCTGTCCCAGCTGGAACCCAAAGTTGCTCCCAGTGCTCCCAGTCCCCCCCCCCAAACCTCCCAAGATCCCCTTAAAATCCCTTTAAAACTCCCCCAAATTCCCAAAAAATCCCAAAAAAATTCCCCAAAAATTTCCAAAAATTTCAAAAAAAAATCCCAAAAAAATTCCAAAAAAATTCCCCAAAAAATCCCAAAAAATCCCCCAAAAATTCCCAGAATTCCCGGAATTCCCAGAATTCCCAAATTTCATTCCAGCTGGAACCTGAAGACGCTGCAGTGCTGCCAATCCACTCCTCCAAACATCCCCAAAATCCCCTTAAAATCCCTCTAAAAACCCCAAAAATTCCCCAAAAATTCCCCAAAAAATCCCTAAAAAATCCCCAAAAAATTCCCCCAAAATTCCCAGAATTCCCGGAATTCCCAGAATTCCCGAATTCCGTTCCAGCTGGAACCTGAAGACGCTGCAGTGCTGCCAATCCACTCCTCCAAGCATCCCCAAAATCCCCTTAAAATCCCTTTAAAACCCCAAAAATTCCTCAGAAATTTCTCAAAAAATCCCAAAAAATCCCCAAAAATTCCCGGAATTCCCAGAATTCCCAAATTCCGTTCCAGCTGGAACCTGAAGACGCTGCAGTGCTGCCAATCCACTCCTCCAAACACCCCCAAAATCCCCTTAAAATCCCTCTAAAAACCCCCAAAATTCCCCAAAAATTCCCAGAATTCCATTCCAGCTGGAATTCCCAGAATTCCCTGAATTCCGTTCCAGCTGGAACCTGAAGACGCTGCAGTGCTGCCAATCCACTCCCAAAATCCCCTTAAAATCCCTTTAAAAACCAAAAAAATTCCAAAAAAATCCCCAAAAAATCCCCAAAAATTCCCAGAATTCCCAGAATTCCCGAATTCCGTTCCAGCTGGAACCTGAAGACGCTGCAGTGCTGCCAATCCACTCCTCCACGCATCCCCAAAATCCCCTTAAAATCCCTTTAAAAACCCCAAAAATTCCCCCAAAATTCAAAAAAAATCATAAAAAAAACCCCAAAAATCCCAAAAAAATCCCAAAAAATCCCCCAAAAAATTCCCAAAAAATTCCCAGAATTCCCAGAATTCCCAGAATTCCCTGAATTCCGTTCCAGCTGGAACCTGAAGATGCTGCAGTGCTGCCGCTGCTGGCAGTGGTTCCACGAGGCCTGCACCCAGTGCCTCTCCAAGCCGCTGCTCTACGGCGACAGGTGACGCCCCCGGGTGCTCTACGGCGACAGGTGACGCCCCCGGGGGCCTTGCCAGAATTTTGGGGGGGGGTTTGGGGGAATTTTCCCAAGTTTTGGGGAAATTTGGGAATTTTTCCCGATTTTTGGGGAATTTGGGGAATTTTCCCGATTTTTGGGGAATTTTCCCGATTTTTGGGGAATTTTTGGGATTTTTTTTCCCGATTTTTGGGGAATTTTTGGGATTTTTTTTCCCGATTTTTTGGGGCTTTGATCCCATGAAATTTGGGATTTTTTAATGTTATTTTGGGGGAATTTTCCCGATTTTGGGGAGGGTTTGGGAGTTTTCTCATTATTTTAGAGTTTTAGGGAATTTTTCATGGTTTTTTGGGGAATTTTGGGAATTTTTTCCAGATGTTTTGGGGCTTTGTTTCCTGTGATTTTAGGATTTTTGGATGTCATTTTGGGGATTTTTCCTGATTTTTTGGGGGGGAGGTTAGGATTTTTCCCATTATTTTGAGGGTTCTGGGATTTTTCCTGGTTTTGGAGGAATTTTGGGGATTTTTCCCGATTTTTAGGGAATTTTTCCCAATTTTTGGGGAATTTTTTTGATTTTCTTTTGGATTTTTTAGGGCTTTTTTTCTGTGATTTTTGGGATTTTTTGATGTTATTTTGGGGATTTGTTCTGATTTTTTGGGGGGGGCTTTTGGGATTTTCTCGTTATTTTGGGGTTTTAGGGAATTTTGGGGTTTTTGGGGAATTTTAGGGATTTTTTCTGGATTTTTGGGGGATTTGGGGGGAATTTTGGGGGAATTTTTTTGGAATTTTTTGGGGCTTTTCCCCGTGATTTTGATTTTTTTTTTTCATTATTTTGGGATTTTTTTTATATTATTTTGGGAGGGTTTTTGGGATTTTCCCAATTTTTGTGATCTTTTTCCTGGTTTCTTGGGATTTTGGGGGAATTTTGGGATTTTTCACGATTTTTGGGGAATTTTCAGGATTTTTTTCCCAATTTTTTTGGGTTTTCTCCCGTGATTTTGGGTTTTATTTTGTTATTTTGGGAGGGGTTTGGGGATTTTTCCCGATTTTTTTCCGGGATTTATGGGATTTTTCCCAGTTTTTAGGGAATTTGGGAATTTTTCCCAATTTTTTGAGGCTTTTTCCCATGATTTTGGATTTTTTTAATTTCCCAATTTTTTGAGGCTTTTTCCCATGATTTTGGATTTTTTTAACGTTATTTTGGGTGGATTTGGGGGATTTTTCCCATTATTTTGGGAAGCTTTGGGATTTTTCCCGTTATTTTGGGCGATTTTGGGGAATTTTCCCGGTTTTTGAGGGGTTCTGGAATTCTTTTCCTGATTTTTTGGGTTTTTTTCCCGTTATTTTGGGTGAGGAAGGGTTTCCTGCAATTTTGGGGTAATTTGGGGTGATTTGGGGTAATTTTGGGCTGAATTTGGGGTAATTTGGGGATGGATTTTGGGTTGAATTTGGGATGATTTTGGGGTAATTTTGGGGTGAATTTGGGGTGAATTTGGGGTGATTTGGGATGGATTTTGGGGTAATTTTGGGGTGAATTTGGGGGTGATTTGGGATGGATTTTGGGCTGATTTTGGGGTGAATTTGGGGTGATTTGGGGGTGATTTTGGGATGGATTTTTGGCTGAATTTGGGGTGATTCAGGGATGGATTTTGAGGTGATTTTGGGGTAATTTTAAGGTAATTTTGGGGTGAATTTGGGAATGGATTTGGGGATAAATTTGGGGTGATTCGGGGATGGATTTTGGGATTATTTTGGGGTGATTTTGGGGTAATTTTGGGGTGAATTTGGGATGGATTTTGGGTTGAATTTGGGGTGATTTTGGGGTAATTTTGGGGTGATTTGGGGGTGAATTTGGGGGTGATTCAGGGATGGATATTGGGGTGATTTTGGGATGGATTTGGGGATAATTTTGGGATAATTTTGGGGTGATTTGGGGTGATTTGGGGTGAATTTGGGGTGATTTTGGGGTGATTTTGGGGTGATTTTGGGGTGAATTTGGGGTGATTTGGGGGTGATTTTGGGGTAATTTTAGGGTAATTTTGGGGTGAATTTGGGAATGGATTTGGGGGTGAATTTGGGGTAATTTGGGGGTGATTTTGAGGTGATTTTGGAGTGAATTTGGGGTGATTCAGGGATGGATTTTGGGGTAATTTTAGGGTAATTTGGGGGTGATTCAGGGATGGATTTTGGGGTGATTTTGGGGTGAATTTGGAGTGATTTGGGATGGATTTTGAGGTGATTTTGGGGTGAATTTGGGGTGATTCAGGATGGATTTTTGGGTGATTTTGGGGTGAATTTGGGGGTGATTTGGGATGGATTTTGGGCTGAATTTGGGGTGATTTTGGGATGGATTTTGGGATGGATTTTGGGGTAATTTTGGAGTAATTTTGGGGTGAATTTGGGGGTGATTTTGGGCTGAATTTGGGGTGAATTTGGGGTGATTCAGGGATGGATTTTGGGGTGATTTTGGGGTGAATTTGGGGTGATTCAGGGATGGATTTTGAGGTGATTTTGGGTTGAATTTGGGGTGATTCAGGATGGATTTTTGGGTGATTTTGGGGTGAATTTGGGGGTGATTTGGGATGGATTTTGAGGTGATTTTGGGATGGATTTGGGGGTGATTTGGGATGGATTTTGGGCTGAATTTGGGGTGAATTTGGGGTGATTTGGGAGTGATTTTGGGGTGATTTTGGGGTGAATTTGGGGTGATTCAGGGATGGATTTTGGGGTGATTTTGGGGTGAATTTGAGGTAATTTTAGGGTAATTTCGGGGTGAATTTGGGAATGGATTTGGGGATGAATTTGGGGTGATTTGGGATGGATTTTGGGGTGATTTGGGGGTGAATTTGGGGTGATTTGGGATGGATTTTGAGGTGATTTTGGGGTGAATTTGGGGTGATTCAGGGATGGATTTTGGGGTGATTTTGGGAGTGATTTTGGGGTGAATTTGGGATGGATTTTGAGGTGATTTTGGGGTGAATTTGGGGGTGATTTGGGATGGATTTGGGGGTGACTTTGGGATAATTTTGGGATAATTTGGGGGTGATTTTGGGTGATTTTGGGGTGGATTTGGGGGTGATTTGGGATGGATTTTGGGCTGAATTTGGGGTGAATTTGGGGTGATTCAGGGATGGATTTTGGGGTGATTTTGGGGTGAATTTGGGGTGATTCAGGGATGGATTTTGAGGTGATTTTGGGATGGATTTGGGGGTAATTTTGGGAAAATTTGGGGGTGATTTTGGGGTGATTTGGGGTGAATTTGGGGTGATTCAGGGATGGATTTGGGGCTGATTTTGGGGTGAATTTGGGGTTGATTTGGGGTGATTTTGGGATGGATTTGGGGATAATTTTGGGATAATTTTGGGGTGATTTTGGGGTGAATTTGGGGTGATTTTGGGATGGATTTTTGGGTGATTTTGGGGTGAATTTGGGGGTGATTTGGGATGGATTTTGGGCTGAATTTGGGGTGAATTTGGGGTGATTTGGGATGGATTTTGGGCTGAATTTGGGGTGAATTTGGGGTGATTCAGGGATGGATTTGGGGGTGATTTCGGGGTGAATTTGAGGGTGATTTGGGATGAATTTTGGGGTGATTTTGGGGTGAATTTGGGGTGATTTAGGATGGATTTTGGGGTGATTTTGGGATGAATTTGGGAGTAATTTCGGGATAATTTGGGGGTGATTTTGGGGTGAATTTGGGGGTGATTTGGGATGGATTTTGGGCTGAATTTGGGGTGATTTGGGATGGATTTTGGGGTGATTTTGGGGTGAATTTGAGGTAATTTAAGGGTAATTTTGGGGTGAATTTGGGAATGGATTTGGGGCTGAATTTGGGGTGATTCAGGGATGGATTTTGGGGTAATTTTGGGGTGAATTTGCAGGTTTTACGTCTTCGAGTGCAGCGTCTGCCGGGGGGGAGCCGAGAGCGTGCGGAGGCTGCCCCTGCGCTGGTGAGGGGAGACCCAAAAACACCCCAAAAACACCCCCAAAAACACCCCCAAAAACACCTCAAATCCACCCAAAAAAACCCCCAGAAACTGCTCCAAAACCACCCCAAAAGCCCCAAATCCGCCCCAAATCCACCCTAAAATCATCCCCGAAATCATCCCCAGAAACCACCCCAAAACCACCCAAAAACACCCCCCAAAAAAATCCGAAACCACCCCAAAAACCCCCCAAAATACCCCCCAAAACCCACCCAAAAATCAAAAAAACTCTCATAAACACCCTAGAATCACCCAAAATCACCCAAAATTACCCAAAAACACCTAAAAATCATCCAAAAAACCCCAAAACCAGCCAAAACTAACCCCAAAACACCCCAGAAACCCCCAAAACTCCCCAAAAATTCACTCAAAATACCCCCAAAATTCCCCAAAAATCCCCCAAAATTCCCCAGAATCCACAAAATTCCCAAAATCCCCAAAATTCCCCCAAATCCACAAAACTTCCCCAAAATTCTCAAAAAATCCCAAAAATCCCCCAAAATTCACAACAACTCCCCCCCAAAATCCCCAAAATCCCCCAAAATCCCCAAAATACCACAAAATACCCAAAATTTCCCCAAAAATAAAAAAAATCCCAAAAATGCCCAAAAATTCCCCAAAATTCCCAAAAGTTCCCCCAAAATTCCCCAAAATTCCCCAAAAATCCCAAAGAATCCCCCAAAATCCCCCAAATCCCCCCAAAATTCCCCCAAATTCCCCAAAATCCACAAAACTTCCCCAAAATTCTCAAAAAATACCCAAAAATCCCCCCAAATTCACAAAAAATCCCCCCCCAAATCCCCCAAATCCCACAAAAATCCC